AATCCTTCTGTGATAGGATAATATCCATGTGCCTACCGGGAAGCCCAGTTAATACCACTATTATTTAAATTTATGTACCAACCACTAAAGCCAGTGAGGATGAAATAGAAGAATCCTACCAACTTCTTAAATTTGAAATTGATCAAACATGCAATCAAGATGTATTGCTCATTACTGGTGATTGGAATGCAAAGGTTGGGAGCAAAGAGGAAGGATCAGTAGTTGGAAAATATGGCCTTGGTGATAGAAATGATGCTGAAGAATGCATGATAGAATTCTGCAAAACCAATGATTTGCTTATTTCAAATACCTTCTTTAGACAGCAAAAGAGACGACTATACACATGGACTTCATCAGATAGAATACATGGAAATCAAATTGACTACATCTGTGGAAAGAGATGATGGTAAAGCTGCAAATCATCAGTGAAAACAAGGCCAGGGGCAAACTGTGGAACAGACCATCAATTAGTCATATGTAAATTCAAACTGAAACTGAAGAAAATGAAAACAAGTCCATGAGAGACAAAATATGACCTTGAATATATCCCACCTGAATTTAGAGATCATCTGAAGAACAGATTTGATATATTAAACACTAAAGACTGAAGACCAGGAGAGTTGTGCATGACATCAAGAACATCATACATGAAGAAAGCAAAACGTAATTGAGAAGACAAGAAAGAAGAAAAAGGTCAAAATGGATGTCAGAAGAGACACTGAAATTTGCCCTCTAGTGTGGAGCTGCTAAGGCAAATGGAAGAAATGAGGAGGTCCAAGAGCTGAACAGAAAATGTCAAAAAATCAGCTCGAGAAGATAAAGACAAATATTACAACAAAATGTGCAAAGATCTGGAATCAGAAAACCAAAAAAGAAGAACACGCTCAGGATTTCTCAAGCTGGGGGAACTGAAGAAAAAATTCAAGCCTCAACTTTCTGTAGCAAAAGATTCTCTGGGCAAATTACTGAATGATGCAGAAAGCATCAAAAGAAGATGGAAGGAAGAGCTCTTGGTCTCCTTTTGGTGACTTAAGAGTACCGCCTCCCAGGTTTACTCTCAATAAACCTGCCTGCTGTTGAAAAAAAAAAAAAAAATTAGAAGATGGAAGGAATATACAGAGTCACTGTACCAAAAGGAAATGGTTAGCGTTCAACTGTTTCAAGACGTAGCATATGATCAAGAGCCAATGATACTAAGGAGGAAGTCCAAGGTGCATTGAAGGAATTGGCAAAGAACAAAGCACCAAGAATTGATGGAATAAAAATTGAATTCTTTCAAGAAAGTGAGGCACTCACTCATCTCTGCCAAGAAATTTGGAAGACAACTATCTGGCCGACTGATTGGAAGAGACCCATATTTGTGCCCGTTCCAAAGAGAGGTGACTCAACGGAGTGTGGAAATCATCAGACAATCTCTTTGATATCCCATGCAATTAAAGTTTTACTAAAGGTAATACAGAAACAGCTGCAAGCAAACATTGACAGAGAACTTCCAGAGGTTCAAGCCGGATTCAGAAGAGGCTGCAGAACAAGGGATATCATTGCTGATGTCCGATGGATCTTGGCTGAATGCAGAGAATATCAGAAAGATGTTTACTTGTGCCTTTTTGGCTTTCGATTGTGTGGATCATGACAAGCTATGGATAACATTGTGAAGTATGAGTATTCCGGAACACTTAATTGTGCTCATGAGGAATCTGTACCTGGACCAAGAGGCAGTTGTTTGAACAGAACATGAGAACACTAGTATAAAATAAAGAAAGGTGTGCGACAAGGTTGTATTCTTTCACCATACTTATTCAACCTGTATGCTGAGCAAATAATATGAGAAGCTGGGTTATATGAAGAAAAATGTGGCATCAGGATTGGAGGAAGACTCATTAACAACCTGCAATATGCAGATGATACAACCTTGCTTGCTGAAAGTGAAGAGGACTTAAAATATTTACTGATGAAGATCAAAGAGCACAGCCTTCAGTATGGATTATATCTCAAGGTAAAGAAAACAAAAATCCTCACCATTGGACCAATAAACAACATTCTTATCAACAGATAAAAGATTGAAGTTGTCAAGGACTTCATTTACTTCACATATGAAATAACTGTAGTTTATAATAGGGATTTGGCTTGTTTAATGTCCTACAGTCAATCTGTACAGTCAATTCGGGAATTTAAGGCTTCATTTAATGTATTTTTCACCCTTTTCTTTCTCTCCTCTGCCTCATGGGCCTATCACCTTTGGCTAGGGAATTGGTGTTCACATACCTGCTTACTTAATTTATAGCCAGCTTATGCTTGTCCAATAGCTTTGCCTGCTAACTGCAAAAAGGAGCCAGAGGAAATGGACTTGGATTTGTCTGTTTCCTTGTTGTTGTTAAGAGCTGTTGAGTCGATTCCGACTCATAGTGATCCTGAGTAGGGTTTCCAAAGAGCAACTAGTGAGTTTGAACTGCCAGCCTTTAGGTTAGCAGTCCAATGCTTATCCTACAGTTCCACACCAGGACTCTATGGTGTCATTTAATTCATACTCCCATTTCCTATAATATAATCCCTATGCACTACATGATTCCATTCATGTTCGGTATTTTGGGCAAGAATACTTTATAGTTGATATTGTATACTTCAAATCATATCACTAGAGAGGCACATAATGTCAGCGATATCACCACCATCAATTATGCAAAATTTGACTGAAGTAGTCACTGCTAGAAGAAGTCTCCAAGGACAAGCCATCCCTAAGGCCCTTTGCTATGCCAAAATCTGCTGGTTCAGAAACTTGCTTAGAACCAGTTCTGCTTTCTAAGGTGTTTTTAGCTTAATATTGGCTGGTATACATTTATATTACTTCCGGTGACTGTAGGCTTACTTTGCTGTTTTTATCTAATTGTTAGAAATGTGTTAATGCATTGATTTTCTTTCTTTCTTTTTGGATATGTGTGTTTACTGCTATAAATTGTCCTCTCTGTACTGCTTTTGCTGTGCCCAAAGGTGGTTATTTTTTTCTCCTCATTTGCTTCAAGGAATTTTTTTTTGTCTTTTATTTGTCCTATTACCCTGTAGCTTTTAAACAGGGTGTCATTCAGTTTCCACGTATTTGATTTTGTTTTCTTGGTCTTTCTAGTGTTGATTTCTAATTTTATAGCATTGTGATCTGAAAAGATGGTTTGTAGTATTTTGATGTTTGTTCATTTATGGAGGCTTGTTTTGTGGCCTAACACAGTCTATTCTGGAGAATGTTCCATGTGCAATAGAAAAGAATATGTATTGTGCTGTTATTGGGCTGAGTGTTCTGTACAAATCTATGAAGTCAAGTTGAATGATTGTGTTGTTTTGTTCCTCTGTGTCTTTGTTGAGTTTCTTTCTGGTTGTTCTGTCCTTTTTTGAAAGTGACATATTAAGATCTCCCACCATTATTTTAGACCGGTCTATTTCTTTCTTCAAGTCTATTAGAGTTTGCTTATGTATTTTCAGGCTTTATTACTTAGAACACAGATATTTACATTTATTTTAGAACTTAGAGAATTGTTCTGAAATCTATCCTCTATGTGATCATTTGAAGCCTTGGTGTGGCACTACAGGTTAATGTGCTAGACTATAAAGTCGGTTTGAACTGCAAGGTCAACAGTTCAAGCTAACCAGCCACTCTTCGGAAACCCTATCCAGGGTCATTATGAGTCAAAACTGACTCAACGGCACTTAACAACAACATATGATGATTTAACAATTGGACTTTTACAGGGTCAGGTTTATGAGAATGTTTAAATAGTAATAAGCCAGGCAAAGGTTCATACAACAAACTGAGAACTAGTAAACATTTAGTATAAGGAAAACTTCTGAAAAATTATTTGTACAAAGCACTTGAACTAAACCAGTCAAGGTCTACAAGCAAGCTTAAAGAAACAACTACTTGACCTCAAGAAAATAATTTCTACTCTGTAGGCTTCAAGTTCCCCCTCCATAAAAGGGAGATTGGGTCTGATTCCTAAGAATATTAAATGTAACACTTAAATTTCCTTTGTTGAAAGGGGTGTGGGAGTCCTGGTGTGCCACTGTAGGATAAGCACTGAGCTGCTAACTACAAGGTCGGCAGTTCAAACTCACCAGCTGCACCTCAGGTACCCTATACAAGGGTCACTATAAGTCAGAACTGATTTGATGACACTTAACAACAACAACCAAGGGATGTGAGAGAAAGCATAATTCAGAGTTGGACTTGAGTTTGAACCATTAGAGTCCTGAGACCTTAGACAAATATACTTAAGTCCCCAGAGCTAAGTTTCTTTATCTGCAAAGAGCTTACCTCACAGAGAAGTTGTCAGGATTCAGTGAGAAAACACAGATTCCCTAGTAGTTGCTTTGTCCATATGGATGCACTATATACATTTCTGTCCCTTCTTCCTGTTTATCTTATAGGATGCAAGGAGGGGTGAATAAGGGGGGTGAGGAATTGAGTCTAATGGGGATGGCCTCTCTCTATGCTGCCACTCAGTCACATTTTCCCTAATTCTGCCATTTCTAGCCTGGTGAAGTAGGTTCTTGGGCAATACAAACACTTTTTATTCAGCTACCAACCAAAACGCTCAAACCTATCCAGCAGTGCTACAAAAGACAGTACTGACAATCTGCTTCCATGAAATGATTATTGTTAAGTGCCACTGAGTTGGCTCTGACTCATAGTGACCCTATATAGGGTTTCCAAGGAGCAGCTGGTGAGCTTGAACTGCTGACCTTGCAGTTCAAACCAACCTTGCAGTCTGTGCATTAACCTGCAATGAGTCAAGAAAACCCTGTGGAGAAGTTCTACTCAGTAACACATGGAGTTGTCATGAGTCAGAATCAACGCACCGGCAGTGGGTTTTGGTTTGGTCTGAAAGGCAGTCCTGGGAGGATTAAGTGATCGTCACCAGGATTGCTTCTGCTGCCACCAGGGTGGCTCTTTCCAGACAGGTCACAGAGCTGGAGACACCCTGAGAAAACACTCTTAAGTGGATCTGACTCACCAGATGAGTTGTAACAATAGGCCTTGAACCTTTGCTGAGCTGAGACTTTCCAAGCCAGAACACCAATCCCGTTCTTCCCACACTTGGGGTTTGCGAGAATCCGAGGGATGACCACTGAGGACCCATCTTCAACCCATCCATAGCTGTAACAGAACAACGTTAGTTGAGTGCATAAATGATTAGAAGTCACTGTCTCTACTGCTGAAAAATAACCCAGATGCAGGAGAGCCCTGATTGTGTGACTAGAGACAGACATTCCTCACCTGCAAGTCTCAAAGCCAGACTTCCATGCCGTTTCAACCTGGGCTTTGCTGGCCAGAGTCATTCCCAGTAGCCAACATGCCTCCTTGGCTTCTGTGAAATCCAGCTGCACGCTTCCTGTCTTTTTGCTCACCAGGGTGATCCCCACAATTCTGCATGGTCCCAAGATGGAAAGTTCTGTAAAGGAAGCACGTAGATTCTCAGTGTGCTGCTGTCCTTGTCTACCCATAGGCTCTCCTTCCTAGCAAAGCATCGATGTCTTGAGTCAGTGGAGTATGTGTGACTGGAAGTGGGGTCTAGAAATAAAAGGACACAGACTGGGAATTTCCTTCTAGAAATGGGGTAGCTGACTGTTTGCTCTGATACAAGCTGCTAATCTCACCAGATGAAGGTCCACCCTATTTTATTGCTTTAAGGTTCCTTGTTTATCACTTGAGGGCTTTGGATATCAGTTACTTGGATGTGGGTGTAGGTGATACAGTTGCTGAAAGTCTTTCTAAGGTCTAAAAAATGAAGGGTCTGAGACTTTTAGAATTCAGGACTCTGGTTAATAGCATAGTTAGCAATGCTCCAAACCAATGTGAGCTTTTGTTGTTAATTCCACCTCATGATGACCCATATGTGCAGAGGAGAATTGCTTTATAGCATTCTGCTTTTGGAAGCAGATGTTCAGGCCTGGAAAACGTTGTACTTGACACACTCACATTATAAGAAAATGTGAGTTCTCTTAGTTTCTGGTCTTCTCTGATCACTGGAGGCAGGCTTATTCAGAAATTCTGGGAGGAATTTAAACACTTTGTTAAAATTAATAGACTTTGAGATAAAAATTAACTGACTTTAATTTTATCAAATTTAAGCACTTTGTTAAAATTAACAAAGTCACAGAGCTGACTTTGTTCTGTGGTGGAAAAACTAGATCAAGGATAATTGAGCTTTAAAGTCGGTTCTGGGCTTGAATCTAGGCTCTGCAACTAGCGAGCTCTGTAACCTTGGGCTAGTTACTTCATCTCTCTGTACTTCAGTTTCCTTATTTTTAACACTGAAAGAATAACTATATAATCCATGTTGTTGTTAAGTGCCTGTTGAGTTGGTTCTGACTCATAGTGACCTTGTGTAGGGTTTCTGAGGAGTAACTGGTGGGTTTGAACTGCTGACATTGTGGTTTGCAGTCCAGTGCTGATCCTACAGTGCCAAAACAGGAGTCTCTCTCTCTCTCTCTCTCTCTCTCTTTCTCTCTCTCTCTCTCTCTCTCTCTCTCTCTCTCTCTCTCTCTCTATATATATATATGCTATGATATACATACTATGAAGTATATATATATAAAGGAGCTCTGGTAGCATAGTGGTTACGAATCGGGCTGCGAACCTTAAGGTCAGCAGTTCGAAACTACCAGCTGCTCCGCGGGAGAAAGATGAGGCTTTCTACTCCCGTAAAGATTTACACCCTCGGAAACCCTATACAGGGTCGCTATGGGTCGGAACCGACTCGATGGCACATAACAACAACAACATATACATATATATACTTCAAAGTATGTATATCATAGTATGTATATCATAGCATATCATAGAGTGGTGAAATTCAAATGAGTTAATTTTAACAAAGTGCTTAGCATAGTGTCTGTCACATAGTAAATGCTCAATAAATGCTCATGTTGTTGTTGGTAAGTGCAATTCTGTCCATTCTAACTTACAATAACCCTATATGGGGTTTTCAAGGAGTGGCTGGTGGGCTTGAACTACTGACCTGGTGATTAGCTGTCCAGTGCTTATCCACATCAGGACTCTCAATAAATCACAAGTAAAATATTATCATTATGTTATCTTTATAGCATTTTGGTTTTAGTCTCCCACTGATTTATTTCACTGGGAAAGTTTTAAAACAGTTAAGATGTGAATCATATATTTATTTAAAACCTAATAGATTTGGGAGTTCTCTTGACACATCCATTCCCTTTGAGTTCTGGGATTTATAGACCCGCACATTCTTCCAATTGGCCTTCATCCATGAAAGAGCATTTCAATCGCTTAAGTAATTGTTTATACACAACTCTGTCCATTATCTGTCCAATCAAATGATTTGACCATTTTCTAGGTTAGTGTTTAAAGAAAGTTTCTTCCTGTAAAAATGGGAAGGAGCGTATCTAAGTCTTTCATGCAACCATACTGGGCTCTGGAGCAGAGAGTTGAGGCAAGGGATATGCATATGAAGTATAATATTTCAGGATGGCTTTGTTTTCTTCCTGACCTACACTTACCAAGAGAGACCAGATAGAACAACTCAGTATTAATGTGTGTGACTGGGGTGACAGAGCATCCGTTTATGACTGTATGCACCAATCCCAATTCCTAGTCCAGTACTGATATTAATACTACTATTAATTAAATTAAAAAATTGATACTCTCTTGGTGTTACTATGTGCCAGACTCCCTTTTAACAGAAAATTGAGGCTCAGGGAGATAAGTAACTTTCCTAGGCCCCAAGACATAGGGATACTTGGCTAGCTGATTGAGGCACATATCAAATTTGGCATTGTAGAATAAGCACTGGACTGCTAACTGCAAAGTCGGTGGTTCAAACTCACTAGCCGCTCCTCGGAAATGCTAGACAGGGCCAGTATGAGTCGGAACTGACTAGACAGCAGTTAATAACAGTAACAACTTAAACCCCAGCTCTTGACTATGCCACTGTTCTGTCTTCTACTGTGCTGTGGGGAGAAGATAAATGCACACATATAGCTAGAGCTAACGTCCCCTAATGCACCACTTGTCCTAGAGTTTGCCTCATTTAGCTCATGAGCTTGCTATTGTACAGATCTTTCTGTCCGCTTCTTTAGGAATTGCCCACAAAGTTTACTAATTACATTGTGAAGTGGTTTTGCTACTTTCCTGGCATACCTTATTTTTACTCTAAAAACTATTGTTTTAAATGATAATAGACCTATTTTCAGAAGATTGACCTAGCTTTGAAGATTTCATCTATTGTTGTGGGGTCTGGGGTAAATTAGCAGTCTCAGCTATAAACTGGAGATGATTCTATCTTCTCAGAGGATTTTTGTCAAAATTAACTAGATAATTTCTGTCTAGCTGAGTCTGGGCCTACAGTGGGCAGTCAACATAATTAGTTGTTTTTATGCTTTCCTATTTCATTTAGAAAATAAAACAAAAATCAGGATTGGAGTCAAAGGGGTACTCAGTAACCCCTGCAGTAAGATTTCTTAGGCGACAGCAGACTTGTAGAAATAGTCTATGCTTAGGAATCAGAACAGAATTCACATCTAAGCTTTATTATTTACTGCTTGCATGACATTGGGAAAATAATCTAGCATCTCTAAGCCTATTTCTTCATCTATAAAATATCTTGTTGAGAGGACTGAATGACTGTATATACACATAAACAGGCATCCTGGTGTGGTGCTGTAGTGTAAGCACTAGACTGGTAACTGCAAGGTGGCAGTTTGAACTCACCAGCCACTCCTCAGAATCCTTGTACATGATCAGGATGAGTTGGATCGACTCAAGGGCACGTAACAACAACACTTAAAGAATTGGTGTGTCAACATAATACAACAAAATAAAACCAAGTCCACTGCCATGGGCCATGGAATCATTTCTGACTTATAGTGACCTTGTTAAGTTTCTGAGACTGTAAATTGTTATGAGAGCAGACAGACTCACTTTTTTCCCATGGAGGGGCTGGTGGATTTGAACTACCAACCTTGTGGTTAGCAGTCCAATGACTAACCCACTGTACCACCAGTGCTCCTGTGAATGTAATGTTGTTGTTAAGTGCCATTAGGTAGGTTCCGACCCATAGCGACCCTGTAGAGGATTTCCAAGGAGCAGCTGGTGAGCTTGAACTGCCGACCTTGCAGTTCAAACTGACTTTGCAGTCCAGCGCATTAACCCACAGCACCACACCCGGACTCCCTATGTATTTGTGTAGGTAATAGACGCTCAAAAATACTGGTTCCCATCTGTTATACATTGAGCTGTAGTTCCCAAAATATGTGTTGTAAATTCTAACCTGCATGCTGTGACTATAATCCTATTTGGGAATGAGTTGTTGTTGTTATGTTGAGGCAGGATTGGTGTAGGGTATGTCTTGAATCAATCTCTTTTGAGATATAAAAGAGATTTAACAAGCAAGGAAGCAGAAGAGACATGGGGTAAGAAAGATGCCAAGACACATTGTGATCTCCAAGGAGCCAGGAAGCAGAAGCTAATAAGACAAGGACCTTACTCCAGAGATGACAAAGAGAGAAAGCTTTCCCCTAAAGTTGGTGCTTTGAATTCAGACTTCTAACCTCTTAAATTATAAGAAAATAAATTTGCCAGGGGAATGGGACTACTACCCAAAGTTGAGGGGTGGGATTGCTATGTCCAAGGTCAAAGAACGTGTTGGGGCTGAGGAGTTGGGTCACCATTCTGATGGACTAGGAGAATGGGACCACCCAAAACCGAGCAGAGTTATCATCCCAGTGGCTCTGGAAGGTGGAGCTGAAGTCCAGGGACCAAGGGCCTCGGCCCAGAATCTCCAGAGGACATGGCCAACACCCAGAGTCTGGAGGGCAGGGCCACTGCCTGTTGTTGTTAAGTATTGTCAAATTGGTTCTGACTCATAGTGATCCAGTATAGGATTTCCAGGGAGAAGCTGGTGGGTTAGAACCACCAATCTTGTGGTTAGCAGTCCAGTGCTGATTCTACAGTGCCACACCAGGATCCTTTGCCTAGATGGTTTCAAAGACCAGGATTATTTTCAAGACTTGAAGGCTAACCAACTTTTTTCTGCTAGGTCTTAGACTTGTTTGATGCCTGGCATCCCTTCTTAGTTTCTCCCAGTTTCAGTGGAAATGTGTTGCAAACCCTAATCTTTATGATTATGATTATAATCACATTGGGAATGGGTTGTCATTGTTATGTAATGAGACAGGATTAGTGTACGTATATTTTGCTTCAATCTTTTCTGAGATATGAAAAGATTAAATAAGCAAAGGAGCAGAAGAGAGATCGCGGTAAGATAGATGCCAAGACACATGCAGATCTCCAAGGAGCCAGAAAGTGGCAGTTAAAGAGACAAGGACCGTCCTTTTGAGATGACTGAGAGAGAAAGGCTTTCCCAGAGCTAGCCCTCTGAGTGATGACTTCTACCCACCTAAACCGTGAGAACTATGTTCCTGTTTGTTAAAGTCGCCCACATGTAGTTTCTGCTATAGCAGCACTAGGTACCTATCTCATTCTGCCATCTTAATCTTCAATCATTGTCCTGAATGACTTTTGGTTGTTTCAAAAATGTAATTTCCTTACACAATTTTGCTATTATTAGGATGGTCCAAAGAGTGTGGTCCTGGTGTGGCGCTGTGGGTTAATGTGCCAGACTGCAAAGCCGTTTGAACTGCAAAGTTGGCAGTTCAAGCTCACGAATTGCTCCTCGGAAACCCTATACAGGGTCGCTATGGGTTGGAACCGACTCGACGGCACTTCACAACAACAACAAAGAGTGTGGTAGAGTCACTTCCAAAGGACAATTTCCAGAACATCTTGAGTAACAGCAGCATTGTGGGAATTGTGTGTCTTCTCCCCCAGGGGGAGTTCAAAGGACAAACCTTATTTGAAAGTAACAGTTTTGGCATTTGAAGAAAAAAAAAATCAACCACTGTAATCTCTCTTATTAAATACAACAATATATGAATCAATTCTGGACTATAATTCTTTTCCCAACATATTTTGTATATTAGGGCATCTTCCATCGTAGGAATACACATTTTTCCTTGTAAAGTACACTGTTCATTTGCCCAGAGCTGACTAGTGGTTTTAACTTTTTGCCTATCATGCAGATTGAGGTTTTCACTTAGGCTTTTTAAAAACTAGAAATTAGTCTATCTGTAAGTCATTCTCCTAGTGGGACACATATGAATAATTTTCAAAAAATTTTTTTCAGTTAACTACTTATTGTATATTTAAAAGATAATATTCAAATGTATAAGGAGCTCTGGTAGCATAGTGGTTATGAATTAGGCTGTGAACCTTCAGGTCAGCAGTTCGAAACTACCAGCTGTTCTGCGGGAGAAAGATGAGGCTTTCTGCTCCTGTAAAGATTTACAGCCTCAGAAGAAACCCTGTACAGGGTCGCTATGCGTCGCTATGCGACGGCACTTAACAACAATATTCAATGTATAGTATGGTGGTGGTGGTGCTTATAGGCTATGGAGTTGGTTCCGACTCATAGTGACCCTGCGTAGGGTTTCCAAGGCTGTAAATCTTTATGGGAGCAGAAAGCCTCAACTTTCACAAAACGGCAGGTAGTTTTGAACTGTGACCTTGAGATTAGCAGCCTGACTTGTAAACATTATGCTACCAGAGCTCCTTAATGTACAATATGTTGTTAAGTGCCGTTGAGTCGATTCCGACCCCTAGTGACCCTGTATAGAGTTCCCAAGGAGCAGCTAGTGAGTTTGAACCTCCAACCTTATAGTTCAAATGGCTTTGCAGTCTGGCGCATTAACTCACAGCACCACATCAGGACTCCAAAGTATAGTATAGTAAAGTAAAACGGAAATTAAAATAACCATGACACTTACAAAAATTCAAAATAGGCAACATTGAGTCCTCGTGTGGTGCTATAGGATAAGTACTGGACTGCTAACCACATGATGGGCAGTTCAAACCCACCAGCTGCTCCTCAGAAACCCAATACAAGGTTACTATGAGTCAGAACTGACTTCAAGGCACTTCACGACAGCATTCATTTTGCCCAGGTTTGTTAGTGGCTTTCAAATGTTCACAATCATGGTTTGTTTCTTTAATGAGACATTTTTAAGCTTACACATGTTCTTTAATGAAATACTTAAACAAATTATGTCTCATCAATGTTTTGTTTTTTCAAAATATTTACTTTTAAAATAATGCATAACTAAAAATCAAAGTGCAAATGTTATAAAAATAAGTGTAAATCATTTTGTTGATATTGAAATATGGTGAAAACAGTCTGGCAGAGCAACACTACCAGTTAGATCTTCCACTGAAATTGAGCCCCCTCCACACACACTCTCAACAGTACATAGTCCAGAGCTCAGTAGGCACAGGACAGTTTAAAAGATCTTGTCTTGCTTTAGGGAAGAAATCTGTAAGAAACCTACCTTCTACTTGGAGAGCACCTTGGACCAGGAGTTTTGTGGAGGCAAGGAGCAACACCAGGGTGAAGGTCTTGGCCATTGTGTCAATCCCTTCAAAGCCAGAGAAGCACCTCAGATGGTCCCTGGCAGCAACAGAGGCAGATAATCAACAGTATTGATGGAGACTTCTGTAAATATGTTGGAGTCCTCTCTGCTCCATCTCATAACTGAGACATCCGGATTTCCCTGCTTTCAAGCGTCTGACTTGTTAAGGTCACTGGGGGGAAATGAGTGACATCCCCTGCCCAGGCTGTACTTATGGATGGCTCTCTGGAAAATTTAGCTAATGCTGACTCAGAAAACACACAAATGAGGAAGACAGATAGCACAGTATGAACTACTGAAGGTTTTTCCAGTTCTCTGTTCTCATACAATTCAGCATTTCTTTTCTAAGGAGCCCCTTCATTTATACATTCCTAGTGGAGGTAGGTATTTTTAGTTGCCTCATATGCATGCAAAAAGTGGATAATGACTAAGGAAGAATTGGTGCATTTGAATTATGGTGTTGGCAAAGAATACTTAATATACCATGGATTGTCAGAAGAACGAACAAATCTGTCTTGGAAGAAGTACAGAATGCTTCTTAAAAGCATTGCAGGGATGGTGAGACTTTGTTTTACATGCTTTGCACATGTTATCAGGAGGGACCAGTCACTGGAAAAGGACATCATGCTTGGTTAAAGTAAAGAGTCAACAAAAAAGAGGAAGACCCTTAACAAGATGAATTGACAGTAATTCAACACAGTAACTATCGTGAAGATGGCACAGGACTAGAAAGAGTTTTAGTCTGTGGTATGTGGGGTCGCTATGAGTTGGAACCAACTCAAGGTCACCTGACAATAAAAGCACAGTGTTGACTCTTTCTCTAAAGGAGGTTGAGCAAGGATTGTGCTTCTTTGCCTTCTATAATCAGTGATTTCTCCTGTCCAGTTGCATAGCCTTGTGATCTGTTGGGAATAATGCTGAAACTCATGAAAATAAATACCCATTTAAATACTGAGGACAGAACCTTCATGTTTTTCCCTAACCTACTTCCACATCTCATTTGGGACTTATTTTATACAGTGTAAATGTCTATGCTACTAAGAGGTGTTTTCTTCTTAAAAGGAACCAGACACATAAAAAACTTCATATTTATAAAACATAATGGGAGCAATTAGTCTGTTTTACAAAAGGGCTGCTGATTTTACAATAGTAATCACAAGGGTCCTTTATTAATACATCTCTCTAGGTATTTTTGATCTGGTAGAGAAAAATATAGACTTTACCTTTTTCAGTTGATGAATGTGAGGTATATAGTTATCATTTTGTTTCCTGCTACCTGATTGCTAAACCAAGATGTGTTTTTAAAAGCACCCCAATTTTGGCTTTTCCAGGGTTGTTGTTGCTGTTAAGTGCTGTTGAGCCGGTTCTAACTTATAGCGATCTTGTGTAGGGTTTCCCAGGAGTATTGGTGGGTTTGAACTAATGACCTTGTGGTTGAAAACAACTTTGCAGTCCAGTACACTTTCCTGCAGTGCCACACCAGGCTGCCATTAAAACAAAACAAAACAAAACAAAAAGAACCTGAATCTCAGGGGCCTAATGGGCTAAAATTTTATTTCTGGCTCATGTCACATTTCAATGTTGTGAGTGCTCAAAGACCCAACTTTTATCTAATGGTTCTGCCATCTTCTCTGGCCTCAGAGTCCTCAATTGGATCCTCTGAATTTGGTATAGTGAGGGGACTAAAGAAAGTGTGACATATTGGGCAAGAGCACTTGTTTTTGGGTAATCAGACCTACTTTGTCAGGATTGGGCTCTGTTCCATGAAACAAGGAGGCATTTGACTGCAGCCAGAAGTTTGGAAATGTGCTTTATTTTCAGACTCAAGTATGTGACGCTCTACAGTTCAACACCAGTACACCTGTGTGAGGCTTAACATTAAGAACTGACAGCCAATGACACACAAATCCATATCGTCCTTTTGTTAAATGCTGCCAGGTTATACATGGGCAGCAATACAGACAGGGTTTGTGCCAGGCATGAAGTGAAGGGCCTTTTAGGTGATATCAACAATAACACAAACACATCACCCTGCAATTGCGGGCAGGCACCCAGACTTCTAGAGCTAAGCAGAAATGTCCGACTTGGGAGGCATTTTGAGGAGAACTTTTCAGATCAATGTCACTGTTGGAAATAAATCGAGGGCCCGTTTCTCCCCAATTCAATGCTGCTTAGACAGCAGCTCAACTGTTTTAGGTTGATCTTTGCTTTTCAGAAAATGAATGTGGCCACTCTTGTGCTCTTCAACCTCCCTTACCCACAAATAGTGTGGGCAAGAGTCTGTAGCTTGCTTTTCACTACCGTGAATGCCCTCTTATTCTTTTGATCAACATTTCTCTTTACAGGCTTTTCTGAGGTGCCAGCTGGGGGTTAGGAGCTCATGAGCACCTCTTCTCTGGCCTTTGTCTCAAGTAGACAGCGGGTCAATTCAGCCTGATCCTTTTTTAGGGGAGACTGAGACTGGACATTGTTGACCTAGAGTCCTGCCATATGGCCAGTCTCCCTTGAGCTGCATTCACATTCTGTCCTTGGCTCTACGGGCCTTGTGTAGCTAAAGCTTCTTCAGTTGTCTTCAGTCTCACTAGAAGAGGCAGAGTAAACTATCTGTCCATGCCACCAACATCTCTCTGCCTTACTCTATACCTCTTTACCTTAATGGCACATCCTTGGTCAACCCTGACTTGAGCTTCGCTCATAGTAGCTTTCTAACCACTGCACAGGATGACTACCTTAAATAGACAAGCAGTTTTACAATGGGGCCTGTTCTAGGTGGATCTTTAAGAAGGCAGTGACTATATGAAGCCCAGTCCTTGAGTTTGGACATGGTGTTAATAGTCTGGTCTCTTTCCTGCTCTCTCACAGAGATGGAGAAATATTAGCGTAAATTGAGGTTAATAAATATTTTATTGAGATTGTGGTGGAGATGCATGGTGAGGCTGGTGGTGGCGAGGTTGGTGCGGGAAGCATGCAATTGTCAGCTGCCCTCAGCTTGCTCTTCACTATCTTGAATGCATGCCCTCTTGTTCTTTTGATCAACATTTAATAACAAGCATCAGCCACCATGCTAGGCACTTACCAAGAGATGGCTAAGACATGGTTTTTGTCTTTGGGGGGAAATGTTAGGGGAGACACACATAAATAATTGTGATATGCTATAAAAAGGGTCAATAATGAAAGTATTTAAAAAGTGCCAGAAAGCACCAAAGTGTTGTGACCTTTTAATGTTGGGTGTGACCTATTATGTTGACTATAGAGGTCATCAAAGACTGTATGAGGAGGACTATTTTTACACTTGGCCCTGGAGACTGGACAGGAAGTAGCTAGAAGAGAATGGCAGAAGAAAAACGAGTAAGAGAAAGAACAGAGCTGTGAAAGGATACAGTTTAGTGTAGGAACCAGAGATGGTTTGGAGTCGCTTAAGAGTCACTTTGGGAAAGGTAGCAGCACATGAGGTTATAAAACTAGAGGAGAAGCTCATATCCTGAGAAACTTAGATGTCAGGTGAAGAAAGTGAATCTTATACTATAGGTGAAGTGTTCTAACCAGTGAATGACATTCTGAGATTTTTTGCTTTAGAAAGAGCCCCGAGGTGCTGTTGGCTGTGAATTGAAAATATATGAGACCAAAATGCAAGGTGTCTCACTAGAGTAGACAATTTAGCATAGAGATACAGAGCACAGCCACCAAAACCAGACTACCTGGATTTGAGATCCAGTTCCCTGATTTACCAGCTGGGTACCCTTGGCAAGTTATCTTTTTTGTGCCTACGTTTCCTAATCTGAAAATGGGAAGAGTAAAACTCACCTTATCATTTTTTCTTCTTTATCTTGAGGAGTAAATGAATTAATACCTGTGTAACTCTTAGAACAATACTTCGTTAATAGAAAATTCTACAAGGGGGCTTCAAAAAGTGTGGAAAAGTTTCATTTTATGGTTCAATTCCATTTTTCCAATAACTTTTTGAAGCCCCTCATATAAGTGTTAACAAAACAAAAGCAAAATAGTAATAACAAAACCCACACAAAAATTAATATTCCCAAGAAACAGATGAGAGATGAATAAAGGCAGTGGTTGTAAAGGTGGAGAGAGAAGTCAAGTTGGAGATGGAATGTACTCCCTCAGTTTTATGCTGAACAATTAGGAATGCTCTGGAATACACACTTGCGTTGGGAATCTTGTTTGAAGTGAAACACTAAGGTGAAAATGCACACTGTAGGTGGGCACACAGTAAGACTGACACTGAAAATATACCAGGTCACCTCATTCAACTGAGAGGTGGGTTAGCTGTTCTCAAAGGGAAAGAGAACAATTTAGGAGTAGACTGTGCTCAAAGTTGACATTTGAAACGGAGACCATCAAGTTTGTCATTGAAACCATGAGTTTTCAGTGTCTTTCAAATATCTTAAGTCCATGTGGAGAGCTTATTGAATATAAGTGCCTGGTCACTGCCCCACGCCAAGTGACAACCTGTGGGTTGGCTTGACATGCATTTTCCTTATCCAGAGCACATGCCTATAGAATATTTGGAGTACTGTTGTCTTTGTGCACATGCATGTTGTGTGTATTTATTGATACATATATATTAATTCACATCTTCCCATTTCATTTCAAACACTGAGCTAAATCCAGCTTATATATATATATTTTTTTCTGAGAAACCTTTCCTACTTATTTAAAAGGAAACTCTAATTCCAAAGGGGAGGAGAGGCGACTGAAGGATAGTCAGTGAGAATGAGATGGGAAATGGGAAGATTATTCATGTTACAACTCCAAATTCCAGGTCTGATCCTCAGGGCCAATATTGGTGTTTAAGCACAATTCTTCCTGATAACCAATTGTAGAGAAGTAGAAAGGGGAGTGTGAGCTTTTTATCGTCCACCTCAGTGAAGGTATTCAGTTCTCCACATGGAGCCATCTGAGTGAGAGACAGGGGCCCTCCCTTTTGTAGAGTTCCTTGGTGAAGGTGACATCTTCATACACTACATGCTTTCCCAG